GCTGGGGGGGGGGACCGAACCCAGTGATGTTTCCCACTAAGAATCCCCCGTCTGGGAGCTCTCCCGGCAGTGGGGAGGCAGCAGGCCCTTGGAGTCCCCAGACCGGGGGTGCGGACCCAGCCCTCAGAAGCACAGCCTGGCTCATGCATTCCTCGGCGCACACGGCTCGGGGGTGCGGACCCCAACTGAGGAGCAGAAAGGCCCTCCCCACATTCCCCTTCCACACCAGAGCCTGGGGGGGCCCAGGCGAGTCGATTTTGGGTGCTCCGGCCCCACAGAGGGGGAGCTGAGGCACCAGAGTGAGTTCACCAATGCCGGGGGGAGCTCTGAGCCTCGGGGGGCAGATCCAGGCAAGCCAGGGTCTGCATCCGGCCCCCAGGCCTAAGGTTCCCCACCCCTGCCCTCAGCCCAGCCTGAAGGGAGACAAGCGCACACAGCCAGCCAGGACCGGATCGGCGCAGCCGCCCCATGGCGGAGGGAGCCCCCGGTTCTCCCCCAGCCCGGCCGAGCCGTGTGCACTGAGGAATCCGGGCTGTGCGTCTGCGGCAGGCAGGGGAAGGATTCCTCCATAATCCTCTCCCACGGCATGAATCATAACAAGCTCTCTGCGCGCCAGGCCTGAGGTATTTCCCAGTGCCCCCGCGGCGGAGCGCTCCTTCCTCGGACCGGACGCAGCCGTACACCGAGCCAGCCCCACGAGTTCCCGCCACGCCGCTCAACCCTGCCCGGGGGGGAGACGTGAAACCACATCCGCCGGGCCCGTCTCCCGCGGCTACCGGGAAGCCCGACGGTCCTTGAAAATCCCCCTGGCGGAATCCCAGCACGCCCTCCCTCAGGCCTCGCGTCGGAGGCGGCATCTCCCGTATCTTCGCCGGGGTGTACGCACCCCGAAGAAACGAATCCAGTGGGACACAGAGCAGGAGGCCTGGGGAGGAGCTGAGGCGGCACGTCCCGGTCCGTCCCGTTGCAGGGGCAGGAGCGACGCCTCAGCAACGCTCAGGTTCTGGGTTGGGGCCTTTCTCTCATCCCCCCGGGGTGACACGCGGCTGGGTGAGCGCCTTACCCTTTGCTGGGGTTCTGAGTTCTAATCCCACCCTGGCCAAAATTCACTCTGTCTCCTAAGTAACGGTGCCCCGTGGCAAAGCCAGGCCACGGCTGGGCTATTCACCCTGCACTAAAGACAGGAGGTAGGTTCTAGGCCCATCTGCACTGCCAGGAATCACAGAAACAGATTGGAAACTGCCATAAGCTTTCGCCATGTACCACCATGCAAACCTTGTATTCTCTCTAGTCCTGTGGTCCCCAACGTGGTGCCCGCGGGCACCATGGCGCCCGCCGGGCCATTTCTGTGCGCCCGCCGAGTAATCTGGGCTGGTCCCGCCCACGGGCGCGCAGCACAGGGGTGGCGCCAGCCCCGGGCGTGCAGCACATGGGCAGCCCTGCCCCTGGGCATGCGGTGCATGGGCTGTGCTGGCTCCGGTTATGCAGCGCATGGGCTGTTCCGGCCCCGGGCACACAGTATATGGGTGTCCTCGCTCCTGGGCGCGCGGCACAGGATTGGTGCTGGCCCCGGCTGCGTGGCATATGGGCAGCCCCACCCCTGGGCGTGCGGCACAGGAGAGGCACCGGCCCCGGGAGTGCAGTGCATGGGTGGCGCTGGCACCGGGTATGCGGTGTATGGGTGGCCCTTCCCCCAGGCACGGGCCCAGCCCCGCCCCCAGGCATGTGTGCGGTCCCGCGCCCGGGCGCCCCATAGCCCCAAAAGGTTGAGGCCCACTGCTCTAGTCCCTCGACAGCAGCACAGGTGCTGTTGCCTCGAATGCTGAAAGAAAGGGTCCGGGCTCAGAACTGGAGGGCCCTTGTCCATGCCAGACGCCAGCAGCCCTTTGCCCTCCTGATGTCTGTGCTGCTGCTGCTACCCCAGGGCTGGCTCCCCCGCGCCCGGGCGCCCCATAGCCCCAAAAGGTTGAGGCCCACTGCTCTAGTCCCTCGACAGCAGCACAGGTGCTGTTGCCTCGAATGCTGAAAGAAAGGGTCCGGGCTCAGAACTGGAGGGCCCTTGTCCATGCCAGACGCCAGCAGCCCTTTGCCCTCCTGATGTCTGTGCTGCTGCTGCTACCCCAGGGCTGGCTCCAGGCGAGGGGTGAGGGAAGGGCAGCGTGAACCAGGCTGCTTCCTAGCGAGGGATTTGGGGGCAGGAGGGAACAGGCCAAGCTCAGGGAGGGGGCTGTGGCAGTCCCATGTATTCCCACCTCCCGGGTATTCTTGGCCTTTCTGCACAAGCCCCAGTCACCCGGCGCTGACAGGGCCCTTTCAAAAAAGCACGTAGCTCACTCCTCCCTGGGCACTTTCCCACGCCTCCCCCCTCATCTGAGAACCGCTGATTCCCTCTAGCCCCCCGCTGAGACGCAGCTCTGCATCTTCTCTGGCGTCCACTCCGTTGCCTGGACAGTGGACACTTCCTGACAGGCCCTAAGGGCTTTCCTAGAGTCAAGGAGCCACTCGGAGGCCACTAAAGCTACCGTCAGATCACGCGAGGCAGGACTTCCTCTGGCGTTCAGCCTCAGGGGATGGTGGGTCGCGGGGAATGGGCGGCTTGGGGCAGTGGGGGGATATTGGTTGCCTCGTGGCTCAGGGTGCAAGCCCTGCTGATTTTTACGTCAGGCAGGACGAGGTGGAGCGCCATCCCATAATTCACTGGGGTTGACCCTAGTGTAGCCGTGTTAGGATTTCACCCTTGTTTGCCGCTCGGGTTCGTCAGTCCTTCCAAAGCCCGGACCGTTCGCATGGAACCCGGGCGTGGACAGAGCTGGCTGGCTAGCTGTCGGCGGGGCAGATCTCATTTCTGTCCCAAATGCACTGGCTGCTTCCCAAAGGGATGGGGAAGCCCCGTCCCGGCCCAGAGAAGCGGATACTCTCGGGTATTTCCAAGGGATCCTTTGGAGGGGGCTTTAATCTCCAAGGATCAGGTGGCTGGCGTGGCATTTCATGCGCTCATAACCAAAGGGTCAGGTTTGGCAGCTTCACAACGGCACCTTGTCAACTTCCAGCCTCCCTCTGAGCACCTGCCCCCCGGTTCCCCGGTTTGGGGTGTTGAGGAGCTCACATAACCCACCCAGCTTGAAAGGGACCTGACCCTGCGCCCACAGTGGGAAAACTAGAAAGCTTGGCAGGGGATCCCGTGGCAGCTCTCTGGTGCTGGCAGCATGGCGTCGGCGCGCTTTCCCATCGCCCACACGTCACGCCTGCGAGTGCTGCGTGCGGATGAGCAAGTGGGCCTGCATTAGCAGAGTTAACAAGCAAAGACTTAAAAACCAAGGGGCAAACACCGCGGGGCTGTAGGGGAGGCAGCGTCGCCTAGTGGGTACCGCACGGGGCCTCGGGAGACCTGGGGTCTTATTGCCAGCTCTGCCACTCGCCTGTGCCTCAGTTTCCTCCTG